TCCAATTTGGTGCAGACTTGGCAGGAGTGCGCTCTTTTGCTTCCCACAGGTCACTGATAGCGATTTAAAATAAAGTAAGACCCAATACAGGCTTTTTTAGTCATCAGTATTTTTTTACTGGACTAAAATCAGGTGGTTTTGGAATTCCTTAAATGAAAGGATGACTTTTTACTATTATCTGTTAGTTCTAATAGCTAATAAGTCTTGCATTAATAGGTTAATTTTTTTGTAGTGCAATTTCTTAAATGTTGGTCAACACTGAAGTCATCAGGTCTTTTGTTTTTGTTAGTTCTTTCAGCAATTAAAGTAGTACTTTAACAACCAAATATATCTGGATATCTTGCCAAAAATCTTTATCAGCTTGATTATGCGGCTGTCTTTTTTACTTAAAGCCTGCATTTTTCATCAACTGCTGTATGTGTGTTCTGGGTTTGGTGTTGGTCTGGTCTGTAGGTATCTTAGTCACCAATGTTACCATTTATAAAGCTTGGCAGTAATATTAAATCTTTTCCTGCTCCTTTGGAACGGCACTATTTGTTCATTTTAGTAGGAGTGATTCAGAATACTTGTTGGCTGATGCTGTCTTAGCACAAGTAATTGACTTCTGTATATTTAAGAATGCTTAACATTTTGTACCTAAAACAAAGGGAACGTTCTGTCGGCTTGTTCATATTTTGTTTTCTTTTGCACTATTCCCGTCACTGTTCTGTACCCTTCCCACCCAGCTCTTCTTTTGACCAACGTTGTAATTAGTAATTTACTGCTAATGCTTCTAAACGGACAAAAACAAGTGTCCTTTTCTGTTTGCTTTACTTCTTGTATAGCTCCTTGAAGGAGAAACTCTTCAATAGTATATCACTGTATATAAATTCAATAGTAATATGTAGTTGGCAGGCCCAAATGTGTAGGACGAATGAGGAGAGGTGACTGCAAATAATAGCTTTCTTCCATAAAATCTGTCTGCTAAATTTCAATAGTATTTCTAGTCTCTTAAAGATTATATTAATAATAAACTGAAATATGAAACACACAAACAGCAGTAAGTTTCCTTACAATAAAGGCTGGTTCTGTTAAACTGATGATACAGTACAACACATTGTTTTCAGACTTCTGTGGTGTCAAGGCACAGAATGATCCAATTTATCTGCTCATTTTTTTTTTACGTTTGCATTGTGTTAATCTCTGCCACACAGGGTACTTTTTTCATTGCTGCCATAATTAATGCTTTAAAGTCTGTCTAAGATTATTTTAACTGAATAGTATGTGTGTTTTTCCTTTTTGTCTAGGATTTGTTATCACATATGCTTCATGTAGATCCACATCAGCGATATACAGCAGAGCAAGTATTGAAACATTCATGGATAGCCTGCAGGGACCAGCTGCCACATTATCAGCTAAACAGGCAAGATGCACCACATCTAGTAAAGGTAAAACAACCCAAAGACTAGAATGCTGCTCAAGCTGGTGATGCACAATGAATTGGGTTGTTTTTAGAGCTACAGGCAGAAGTAATTTTTTTCTTTAGAAAAGAATTTAGCTTTCTTTGTTTTCTCTAGTACATAGGTATTTAAGTTAAATAAGTAGACATATTACTGGTAAACTGATTTACTTATTATTTTTTTTAATGTGTAAAGGAAGAGATTTTTCTGAGTGTTTTCAAAGATGAAGGTAGCTTTGGCTATGTAGGAACCTGACAAGACAGTTATCTGCACCTAAGCTTTCCACAGGTGTCCTAGCATTCTTATTTAAGAAATCTTTTGGGATTTGTTTCTGACTGACTCGTATTATGCTTTTCTAACATAAATTAATGAACTGCATGACAGTTCTTTCACCTGTGATTCTGACTTGCAACACAAAAACATTGTGTGCCTGCATACGTTGCTGTATGCAGGCAGCTTTTAAGTTGGCTTCTTTAGTTTTGTTGGATACAAAAGCAAGGACCTTTGATAGCTAGTCTTAATTGTGTTGTGTCCGTAAGTCAGGACCTGAATATCCACCTAAGTGACTGCTTTTGGTAAATTGATGCTAATGTTGTTTGGAATATATTAACTCTGACTCACATTAACAGGTTGCTTCTACATCTAAGGTATGTAAAACAAATACGCAGGAAAGAAAAAGAGATATCAGGTACCCATGCTTAGAAACCTGAAGGATTCAACAATAAATGTTTTTTTCAAAACCAACTTTAGAGAATGTGCGTGACCTGCCATAAGTCCTGGTTTGTTGTTTGGCGGTTGTTGAGGGTTTTTTTTAGAGTTAAGAATTTAATTGCTTTATTTTCTGGTAAAAGTGACCTTTACAGCCTTTTATGTTTCATTGTTCTCTAGGGAGCCATGGCTGCTACGTATTCTGCACTGAATCACAAGACATTTCAGCCAGTGTTAGAGCCTGTTGCAGCCTCAAGTTTAGCTCAGCGACGGAGCATGAAAAAGCTAACATCAACAGACTTATAGATCCACTGGGACACCTTAGCAAACAGAAGCAAGGGGAGAATCCAATAAGTGGCTCTATTTTGCCTGACCTGTGATCAAAAGGCATCTTCGGTTTCCTGCTACACTACTTGAATTCTGTAAAAGTCCTTTTTTTAAAAAGAAAAAAAAATCCACAGGTTCATACTGTGTTGTTTTACAAGCCGTATCTGTTAATTTAAACATCAGGTACACCATAATGAATTTCTCTACACTGTTGTGTTGCAAATATTATTTCACATTCTGTATAGTTTCGCTGGGTTCATTTAAAAATGGTTTAGGGGACCGTTGCCAATGACCAAGTTGTACATAAAGTGTCAGTGTAAGTTTTCTTTTCTTCATACCTTTAGACCCTGTTGTGAAGGACAAATTCTTCATTTTGTAATTGGGCACTTAATAAATTCAACTTAACTTCATTACTATTAATTCCTTACTATTATGCAAAGCTGACTAATGTATTGTGCTGGTGTTAAATGCATTAGTATTAATTTGGAAAGTCTGTGTTTGCATGGTGCCAGTAACTGATAAGTTTATGTGAAAATACAAACAAAAGGGATGTGTAAGGTTCTGCACTTTACCCATAAACTTAATTTGATCACTTGTGACCCAAAAGAAATGTTACAGGCCTCGAAAATGAACATTTCTGGTTGTTACCACAAATGGTATTGTATCCTGCGTTGAGCTGGAAATATAAGTACATGTACAGACTGTCAAAATTAAGGATCTAAATAACATTGGTACCACTTAAAGACAGCATGACACAATCGAATATTCTTTGTTATTTATACTGTCTATCCACATTGATTTTGTTACTGTTTTCTCAGCAGATGTTTCCACTGAGTATACCAAATATTAAGTTTGTTTGGCATATAAGACAAATTGACACTTTATTATAACAAACTTGGCACATGGATTTTATTTCTTATTTATTTTGATTTTTATAGAACATTGCTTCTATCTGAATCTCGCCGCATGTACAAATGTTACAGAACATAAATGCAAAATTCTATTTGCCTAACTGTAGAGGGTAGCTTGGGAAAATAAATAAGCCTTGCAGGGTACCCAGATAAGGGAATTCTGACCAAGAAATTTCACAGTTATGGACAAGTTACTGACAATATCCTGTTGCCAGCACTCACTTGCCTTTTCTTTCTTTGGTCTTAGGTCTTCGGCTGTTTTTAAATGCTGTGATGGAAAATAAATCTATTTCAGGGCCAGAATTTTCTTGGGATTTTCTGATTCAAAACCAGTGCTAACTGCTAGTAGACTGGGAACTAATGCATCCAGAGATGATGGGCTTTTAAAAATATTTTCAAAAGTTGTAGACACTACTGTGCAATTGTACTGTCATAATAGGATGATACGCATTTTAAATTTTAAGTATATTAGTGACTATTAGACTGAATACTTAGAGAATCCAAATGACCAAAAATCAAATGTATTTCAGACTGATTTGCCATCATTGAACTTTGTGTTTTTGGATAGTTTCAGTAGTTACAAGACACCTGTGATGCCAGAACTTGGCATTTTGAGACAGGAAAATAAGCTTTTGGGAGAATTGTGGCCCAGCTGCCATGCGTGGTGGTAGTAACTCAGATCTTAGAAGGCAGAGGGTGCTGGCTGGTTTTTGCTTATCTGTGAAGTACTTGGTGGCATTGGAAGTACTGTTAGATAAGCTGCTTTCTTCTGTTGTGGTGGGGGAAGATGGAAATTACCTGGCCATATAGTTAGTTATGAATATATGTAGGTTTGAGATTAATGAATATAGCAAAAATAGGTTTTCTATTTGTATCATGCAGAGCATACCCCATACTAAATTTCTTGAGTGCTTGGTAGATGTTGGAAGCTTTAGGGGCCATTTGTGCCTAGTTTTGAGGTGCCTGTTTGAAATGCTTGAAAGCTTATCAAAGAATGCAACTGCTTCCTGGAAAGCTTATTCTTTAGTACGAAATCTGACCCTTTTGGAACTGGTTAATCCTTCATTACAGAAGACCTTTGCCAGCAAGAATGCCTGTAAACCTCTCATTTACAGTGTAATTTTTTGTAAATTTACAAATGACTGCCAGAAGAATTTGAATTCACTCTAAGAAAAACGAACAGTGGTGGAAATAAGGCCACTTTAGCCCAAGGTCAAGGTGTAATGTGGGTTGAAATGTATTGGTAAAAGCTGCAGTGGGGATAGAGGGTAATGCAAGGGGTGGGACACAACTGAAATGTCAAACTTGAATTGTTGTCAGCTTTCCCTTAAGCTTGCAGCTGGTCTTTAATGGCTTTATTCATGAATCATTTAACAGTGTTTATATTGGTATTTTCTTTTAGCTTGCTTAGAAGCACCACGTTATAAGCACCTTAAAAGCATTTTGCACAAAAGCAGTTATAAGCAGCTGAAGGTACTTAAGTTCTTGGTGTGCAAAACAAAGGTGGTAAGAGAAAAAGTACGCAAACAGGATGGATATTCTGATTCTTAGCAAAGAATTTAAACCATCTTCTATAAAGTTATCCCTGCTGTTTTTATATCATGACTAGCCTTTAGTGTGAGTGGTACTCCTGAGGTAAAAGCAAGGTTACAGTGACTGCAACATTACACAGTTGTCTTATCACAAGCAAAACATACGGACAAACATCTTCATTGTATCTGACAGGCCAGTGTACCCTGGTATGCCAGTTTTAATCCTTAATCTGGAGGGGAAAAGTTCATCTGCTATGAATATTTCAGCATATCAGTCTTTGAGACATTTTGGATATGCAGAGATACAAAAGAGTTCACTTGCTGTTTACTCTTGCTGTAGTAGTTACTGATCATCTTTGTGACACTTCTTTTGCAGTATGTTGCATATTTCTCATCCCTGTTCTATTTTTCAGACTTAGTTTTTGTTAGTTAAGCAATTATATAAAAGTAGCATGGTCTGCTCCTGAGTAATCAGTTAAATATTTGATATGGAAAACAATTGGCTGTTGGCTGAAGCGAAGGGTTAGTGTAAATTGTTACACCTTAATATCCTTTCTGCACATTTCAAGATTACAAATTAGTTACGATCTTATTATGTTACTGATTTTTAAAACAGAGTGAAATTTTTACAAAGGCTTAAAATTACAAAGAAATGGGCATACGTAATATGTATTGAGAAGAATTTCCAGAGAACTAACTAATATCTTAAATGATGTAGTATTTTGGATATGGCTTCTGTTACTGCCAGCATAATATCTTCTACTCTGGTGTTTGGTGATGGCAATTTCATGGAATCATAAAATTGTAGAATGGTTTAGGTTGGAAGGGACCTTAAAGATCATCCAGTCCAGCCCCCCTGCCATGGGCAGGGACACCTCCCACCAGACCAGGTTGCCCAAAGCCCCGTCCAACCTGGCCTTGAACACTGCCAGGGAGGGGGCATCCACAGCTTTCTTGGGCAGCCTGTTCAAGTGTCTCGCCACCCTCACAGTGAAGGATTTCCTCTTAATATCTAGTCTATATCTAACCTCTTCCAGCTTAAAACCATTCCCCCTCGTTCTGTCGCTACCTGCTCTTGTAAAAGGTCCTTCCCCAGCTTTCCTGTAGGACCCCTTCAGGAACTGGAAGGCCACAGTATGGTCCCTCTGGAGCCTTCTCTTCTCCAGGTTGAACAGCCCCAACTCTCTCAGCTAGTTCTTGTAGGGGAGGTGCTCCAACCCTCTGATCATCTTCGTGGCCTCCTCTGGACCCGTTCCAACAGCTCGATGTCCTTCAAGTGCATGCTGGTTCTCAAGTGCAGGTAGAGCCTGATACGTTCTCACTGAAGGCAGTAAATTCCCACAGACATCAGCTGGAGCAGACCTGACCCCCAGACCCCTGCTCTTAAATATTCCAATTACTATCATCAGTTATGCTTTTGATAAGAAGTGAGGACCTCTGTTGTATTCCTGTTTTGTATCCAAAAACTGTGCAGTGGCATCAATATCAGCCAGTGGCGCTTAGCGGAGAGTGCCCGTAACCGAGAGCATTACCATGGGTGGGTTGAATTAAGCCACTGTTTTGTGGCTTGTGTAGTCTCGATGCCGTTGTTGGCGTGTTGTGTGTTTTTTCCCATTATGCTTAAAGCTAACAAATTCTCTTTGACCATACGAAGAGCCTAAGATGTAGGTGGTCTAAGGTACTGTCCATTTAAGTCCCATGTTGTAATGTGGTTTGAATGTTCTCCTTACATCCAGAGAAGGCATCCAAAAACCTCACCCAAGTCAGTCATACTGAGCTTGAATTCTGTCTTCCAGGTTTTAAGGCATTTTCCAAAGCTAATCTTTATGTCTAATAGTTCAAGTGACCTCTAGCAAACTTCAGCATTTGGAAATTACTTGCAGGATGCTTAAACTGGTCCTTTGCAGTGACAGATTGCTGCGCTCAGTGCTCTGCTCTGTGCTCTCAAATGTTACAATTAAAAAGTTGAGATAGCTTGTAAGAATTGAGTTAAATGAATTGCACAATAATGTAGTTATCCTGGTTCGTATCGGTGAAATTAGATTAAACATAAACATCAGTGCAGACAAGGGGCTTTCTGTACTTCTGTAGCACTTAAGTTTTCCAGTCCTATCCAGAGTTAGAAGTTTGCAGATATTTGTAGGAGGGAAGGGAGGAGCAGATGTTTCTTTCTCAGAAGGTTTCTGAAGCTGTGCTAACACAGTCCTCATATAATCCTACCGGAGCTCTATATGATTAAAAAAATAATAAATTCAAACTCTCCTTGAAAGTGTATTCAAAAACTTCTTTGGGTCTGTATTGATACCTGTTGGTTATGTGCCTATGCTGTCATTCATGCCATCCCATCCTTCTCCGTTTGCACCCCTTTCGTTAAGTACATTCTGAATACTGTTTATCCTTACTTCGGTGTATTTCTTAAACGTTTACTCCTCCAAGTTATGTTGTTGTTACGCCTGCATTTCTTTTGGGAATAGAAGAATGAATACAAATTTGTAAAAAATGCCACCCTTAGTGTATATCTAAAGCTCACTTGAGCGTTATAATAACTTACAGAATTAGAAGCCCCCTCCTTAAAAATCATCAGTGACTGGTTTTCTCAAGACTTTTCCTATGTAATGAAAGCAAAACTTCTTTGAAAGCTTTAAAGGATATTTAATTGAATATGTCTCTTAATTATTAAGATTT